TGGAACGGACACTGCCAGCGGATGTTTCATTAGGAACTCCCTGTATTTGGTTATCAAGGCATCGACTCTTCCCTTTTCTTGGTTCCCAAATCTGTGAGACTTCAGTTCCTGGTTGATGTACCCAGATTCCAGTCTCTTCTTGTCCTTCAATGTTAATTGGTTCCATATTATCCATAACTCTTGGAGACTTATCAGATACCACTGACGAGAAGGAACCTTTATTTGTAACGTCGGAAGCAAAAGAAGCCCACATATCGTCCTTACTTATTGTTACTCCTTCAAAGGGGTCATCGTTCCACTGGAAAAGAATCATATGCACATTGCATTAATAATGAAAGTTTGTATTACGAAAATAAACAAAATCTCAATCTACCTTTGCTTCGTCCTCAAGTACGGTTATAGCAAGGTGCAGCCTCCCCATTTTGATGTTCTGAAGAGGCAACCACATATCATTTCTTTGCCCGCCTCTAAACTCTGCAATGTTTACTGAACAATCACCAAGGCTGTCATCGCTGAATCGGTCTTTGTCTTGAACTTCAATGTTAAGTAAATTGGAAGAGTCCCATGTCAATATTGGTATCTTGAACTCTTCTTGCCATCTGGGAGCTAACGTTTTCCTTAGTATCTTGGTTTTGAATCTGTAAGCGCCAAGCTGCCCTTTCACATAAGGATCAGCTAAACCTGAAGCATCCAAATCCGAGCAGTTCATAAAATACCGTCCAAACTTACTAAAGTGGAGGAAACTAACTAGTGCAGTGATTTCTAAACAAACCATTTAGATCTGATGGTTTAACATCAGATGCTTCAACGACTTCAACAAGAGCATGTGCAACTGGTTCTTTCTCATCAACAAAGAACCAATTTTCTGGAACCAAACACATACACAAAATGTAATCATATGAACTGATGTTGATAGCTTTGAGGAACCAACAAAAAGAAGTACAAGATACAAGTCAAAGTTTCTGAACATCATCCCCTGCAAAATAGTTACCTCCTGATTCTGGGCTAAAAAATTTCTCCATATCAGCTACTAGCATATTTGGCTGCAAATTAGAAACAGGCTTCATTTAGCATGTTTGCTTCACTACATGAGGGGATAAATCTTGAGCATCGGGAAAGAAAGACGACAAAGAAGGAGAACCTTACCTCAACAAGAGTCTGCTCAAATGCAATAGACAAGAGTTTGTCCTGATTGGGAAATAATCAGAATGTTGGGAGTGTTAGAAGAGGGAAAGCTCAAAAGAGCCAGAGGAGAGTTTCTAAACTACTTTAAGTTTACAAGATCATTCAAGCGTCATTTACTTACTAGCCATCCTGCAATCCCTGGAAGTACAGCAACATCAACTCCATGAGTGAAGATTGGTTTTACATTCATCTGGAAATAAGGTGGCTCTGCAAAACAGACACGTAAACGCCCAAGAAACGGCCATCGACGAAGGAACTTCACTCCAATCAACACCTTCAAGAGTATAAGGGTATCCAGATGAAGCAAGGTACTTCATTTAATATATGTGTATGTGAATTAACTACAACAAAAGGTAAAGTCATTACCTTTCCTTCGACATGCATTCCTGTCAGATGTAACTTTGTCCACATCCCAAACCCTAGTCTTTTTCTCAACTTCACGGCGAGTATTGCGCTCATATCATCTGCTGTGAGGAAATTCATTCCAAGTTCCAACACCTGTATAAATTTCAGTATAAGCTCTACTTCCTCTATTTGTTATTAAACATCAGATGCAACAGTGATAAGCTATGAAGGGTTTGCAAGTATACCAAATGATCATCTCCGGTAGATTGCCGAAGCACCCTTATATCTGTCAACAAAGGCGGGTTTCTTCCCAAATAGAGGTGTTGTATCAGAGCTTTTTTCTGCACAAATTTATCATACCATCAATAATACTAAGTACAGTAACTAGTCTAGTAATTTCCATAGACATAAAACTAGTATTCAAAATGTCTAACTAAATCCAAAAAGAGCCATATGGAATTAAAAAACAGAGGAACAGATCTCGACGATTTACCGCGGTCCAAGGTCTATACTTATCCAAGAACCAAGGTATGATTGGACGCAGAATCTTCTGAGACGCAATTGATTCCATACAAATTGGCCATATCTTCTCCACAGCATGATTCAACCACCGCACCGATTCAGAATCAGATAGAACCTACAAAGATGTTAAATAAAAGCTAAAATCATCATCTTTCAATACAAAATTGAGAACACCATAGAACTTAAACTAATAATGTGTGGATAATGAATTGGACTATAAAGCAACTTCAATTCTCAGAAGAGAAAAAAAAACCATTGGATCTTACACGTCTCTGGTTAGCTTGCTTCCTCTCTTCAAATTGCAATTTCTTCCTCAATCTCATCACATACCGTTCATGAACCTAAAGAAACCCACCAAAGCAACAATCATTTTCAGAAACACATGTGAATCAGAGAGAGAGAGAGAAGCAAAAGGGAACAATACCAAGTAGAGATAAACCAAAGCGAGGAAATAGAAAAGGGCGTGTGATCGATTCAAGTAAGATAGAATCCAAAGTAACAGCAACACAACCACCACATGATGGATTACCAAACACTCCATTATTATTATACTAGTATCCACTTCCTCTATCGATTACGAAATCAAGAAGTGAGGACAAGAACTCAAACACCAATCTCATGGAAACCAAACAACCATCTGAATCGAATCGAACTTGTTCATCATTTTGTTTTGGTTTCGAAAAGATGAAAGAAAAAACGCCAACTACTGCAGCGAGAGAGTCAAAGACAAAACAGATGATTGCAGTTTTTTCTTTTTTTCTTCTTATGGGGGCTTGATTAGTCAGTG